GCCTCGACGGTGCCGGTGTCGATGAGCACGAGGGAGTCCGGCGTGGCGCCCGCCGGCAGAACGCAGTCGCCTGGCGCGAATCTGGCAGGAATAAGCGCGTCGGCGAGCTGATGCCGTTCCCCCGCCGCCAGCGCGCAGAAGAGGCCGGCGCCGCTGAAGAGACGCAACATCCGCTGCTCTTCGCGGAGTGCGTCCGTCATGAGAATGCGCTTCAGCACGGAGCGGCGGATGGTCCACAGCACGACGTCACCCTCCTGATCAGCAGCAGCACGGCAGACCAGGTCGATGTCGACACGGTCATTATACATATACAGGAGCCGCTCACGGCATAAGGCGTCGCCGGAGCTCAACACCACGGTGTCGGCAACGGAAGCAGCAGGAGCAGCGGTGGCGACGCCATCATCGCCCTCATCGCCGCTACTTCTCCTGCTGCTGCGGCCATCGTCAAAGCCGTCGCTGTCATGCAGCAACCCCGGCGGGCACTCAGATTCCACCATGCCGGTCTCCCTGTTGCTGTCACACCAGATCAGACTCCTGCCACCGCTGACAACCACAACGCCCCGCTCGATCCAGTAGAACTCACCGCTCATCCCGCCATCCGCCGACGTTATCGTCTCTCCGGGCCGGAAGATGCGGCGCTCAAAGGCATCCACAACCATCCCCAGGCGGTGCTCCTGCAGGTGGGCAAAAAACGGCTGCTGGCGCACCATCTGCAGGAGCACCGCACGCTCCTCAGGGGTCTTGTCTACGAGGCGCGGGCGGAACGTGCTGTTGCGGCCGACAGACTCCCCAACAATGGCGTGGCGTCGCTTCTTCAGCCGGGCACGGCGGCGAAGCTCGAATGCCTCGCCTCCGCCAGACCGGTCGCCTGCAGAGTTCAGCAACTCCCGCGGGGCGCCGGCGGTCTCCTCTGTTGGGAACATGTACGACAGAAGCACCCTGCGCGGATCGCTGTCTGTGCCCTCCGTCACTTGCGCCCCTGATGGCTGGATGCAGCCTCCTGCCAAGACGTACTTGAAGGAGTGTGCGCACAGCCGGTACACCGTCGCCCCTTTGTCACCGGCCCGCAGGACATGTGAGGGAAGCGTCGGGTAGAGCAGATTGAGGGAGAAGAATGCGTCGCCAGGGTAGTGCTCCTCATACGCCTCGTGCTCAGTGTTTTCGTTGCAGGTACCATCATCTTCATTCTTGCTGTCGCACTCGACATTGCTGTTTTCGTTTGTGGTGTCGTGCAGGGGCGGCTCTGGTGAGCAGCAGCAGCAGCAGCCGTCTGGGGGCGTGCCGGATGCCAGCCACGCATGTTCCTGCTGCGATGGCTGCAACTCGTGCGGTGCTGTTCCCGCCCCACGCGCGGCGGCGGTGTTGGGTGCGGCACGGACGCTGCCGCGGCACAGCACGAGGAGGCTCTCGTTGGGGTGCCACG